TCTAGATATTTCATATAAATGAATTCATACTGTATTTCTCTTTTTGTATCTGACCTATTTGAATTAGCATAATGTTTTCCAGGTTCATTTGTGTTGTAGCATGTATCAGAAGTTCCTTCCTTTTTATGGGTTAATAATATTCTATCTTATGTATATGCCACATATTTTTTGCCCACTTATCCATTAATAGACATTTGGGTTTTTTTCCACCTTTTGGCTATTGTGAATACTGCAGGGAGCATTGGTCAGCAAGTATCTGCTTGAGTCCCTGTTACTGATTATTGTGGGCATATGCTTTGGAAGGAAATTACCTGGTTATATGGTAATTCTGTGTTTAAATTTTTGAGAACATGACAAAATATTTACCTGGATGCCTATACCATTTTACTTTCCCATCAGCAGTGCATAAGGGTTTCAATTTCTTCAAAGCCTCAAATCCACTTATCTTCCACATAGACAATTTTCATTACTTATTTTTTTTTAGAGGCAGGATCTCAGTCTGTCACCCAGGCTGGAGTGCAGTGGCACGATAATAGTTCACTGCAGCCTTGAATTCCTGGGTTCAAGAGATCCTCCCATCTCAGCTTCCTGAGTAGCTAGGAATACAAATATTTGCTACTGCATCCAGCTTTTTTTTTTTTTTTTTTGGTAGAGATTGGGGGGCGGTCTCACCATGTTGCCCAGGCTGGTCTTGAACTCGTGTCTTCAAGCGATCCTTCTGCCCCAGCCTCCCAAAGCTCTGGGATTACAGGCTATTTTTTGTATCTTTTATTTTAGACATCCTAGTAAGTGTGAAGTCATATTTCATTGTGATTTTGATTTGCATTTCCAACAACTAATGATATTGAGTATCTTTTTATGTTTTCATTGGCTATTTCTGTATCTTGTGATAGGGCCATATGTCTATTGAAATTTTGCTCATTTTTTTTTAATTGTTGAGTTTTTTTCTTTTTTTGAGATGTAGTTTTGCTCTTGTTGCCCAGGCTGGAGTGCAATGGCATGATCTCGGCTCATTGCAACCTCTGCCTTTCGAGTTCAGGTGATTCTCCTGCCTCAGCCTCTCGAGTAGCTGGGATTACAGGTACCTGCCACCATACCCAGCTAATTTTTTATATTTTTAATAGAGACAGGGTTTCACCTTGTTGGCCAGGCTGGTCTTGGACTCCTGACTTCAGGTGATCCAACCGCCTCAGACTCCCAAAGTGTTGGGATTACAGGCATGAGCCACGAGTTTTAAGAGTTCATTTTATGTTTTGCATACTAGACCTTTATCAAATATATTTGCATAATTGTGTATAATTTTATATAAATGTGATCATATACCATTCTGTTTTGTAACTTCTTTTGATACTTACTAATCTCACAGATATCCCTCTAGGTCAATAAATGTTATTTTCTTTTACCGTTTGTAATGACTCATGATGTTCCATTACATAAATGATTTATAATTTAGTTTGTTTTTAAGTTTTTTGTTCCATTTCGCTATTATTAATAATAGTATATATAGCAAACATTTTCGTAAAGCATGAACTTAATGAAGTAGATAAAATGGCAATTTCATTGGAACTTTTTAACATTTGCCTTTCTGAACCTGTTAATAATTGCCCAGAAAAATAAGTGACAATATCAAAGTCTTAACAATACAATAAATTTGAGCTATTGTATGTACACAGAATACACAGAACTTTGTGTCCAACAAACAGAGGATATATGTTCCTTTGGGTACAAAGACAACATTAACAAATATAAACTATGCATTAGGCTATAAAGGAAGGCTCCAAAATTCAAAGATCAATATCGCGTAGAGTATGTTTTCTAACCATAAGAAAATGAAATTAAAAATTAATGATAAACATTAAAACATTCCATATTTGGGACCTAACATAATGGTAAATATTCTTTGGGTTAAAAAATATATATTTTACAATGAAAGGACAATGAAGTCAGTATATATTCACATTTGTGTGACACAGTTCAGTATGTAGAAAGAAGTTCATTGCTTTGGATATATTGATCAACAAACAAGAAAGAATAAAAACAAATGTATTGAGCACTTAAATTAAAAAAGTGATAACAACAAAACCTACCCAAAGTGACAAAACAGCTGGACATATAGGACTGAACGGCAGAAGTCAAATAAACTAAAAAAACAACTATAACAATATAAAATGGTAGCGATAATCAGCAAAACCAAAACTTAGTGATTGAAAGGATTAAGAAAATAGACTGGCAGGAAGATGCAAACAAACACAGTAAAGAATATAAAGTAAAATAAATGAAATATTACAGACACAATGGGTTTGTTAAAGAAACCATCATTCTCAGCAAACTGACACAAGAACAGAAGATCAAACACTGTATGGTCTCACTCATAGGTGGGTGTTGAACAATGAGAACACATGGACACAGGGAGGGGAGCATCACACACTGGGGTCTGTCGGGGGGAAATAGGGGAGGGACAGCATGTGGAGAAATGCCAGATATAGGTGATGGGGAGGAAGGCAGCACATCACACTGCTATGTGTGTACCTATGCAACAATCTTGCATGTTCTTCACATGTACCCGAAAACTTAAAATGCAATAAAAAAAGATGAAATAATTATGATACATTTGGAAAAAAGAGATAAGGTAAATTCCTAGAAAAATGTAAATGGCCAAAAGTTGGCAAAAGGAAAAATGGAGACTTTGAGTAGACAGATATATATTAAAGATGTTGAAATGGAATTCATACATCCTCTCTGATTCACTCTGTCAGAAAAAGTAGTCCAAAAAAATTAGCCTTAGAAATGAGCCAGTTCAAATATTTTCAGTATTTTCATTATTAGTGTAAAAGGAGAAAAATCATGTGGTTATTGTAATCAACCTAGAATTGCAGGACAATTACTTAAGTAAATAATATTTACATGATAAAAACCTATAACAAATATTATACTAAATGGAGAAACTTGAAATATGTTTGTCTTAAGATGGAGAGCAAGACAGATACTCATTTGCCTACTATTGTTTAACCCGGTACTGGGGAGTCTCACCAATACTATTAGAATGAAAATTGGCCAGGCGCGGTGGCTCATGCCGGTAATCCCAGCACTTTGGGAGGCCGAGGCAAGCAGATCACCTGAGATCAGGAGTTCAAGACCTGCCTGGCCAACATGGCAAAAACCCATCTCCACTAAAAATACAAAACATTAGCCAGGCGTGGTGGCTCGTGCCTGTAGTTTCACCTACTTGGGAGGCTGAGGCAGGAGAATCGCTTGAACCCAGGAGGTGGAGGTTGCAGTGAGCTAGGATCACACCACTGCACTCCAGCTTGGGCGACAGAGTGAGACTCCTTCCCAAAAAAGGAAAAAAGAAAATTAAGTGCACAAAGATGGGAAAGAAAGATTTAAAATTGGTTACTATTTGAAAAACATTACAAAACAGCTTGGTGTTATTTGCAGATGATATAATTATATAACTGGGAAAATCGGCAGCATGAGTAAATTTTATGAGGACTAATAAGAAATTCGCCAGGTTGGCAATGACACAAGTGATTTACCAAAGTTAATATTTTTAACATGTGAAATAAGTAACCAGTAAATGTGATAAGTAATATTGACACAGGTGGGGGGCAGGGAAGTGCTGGGAAGAGAAAGGGGAGGGGGGTGCCTGGCTAGGGCTTCACCCCTGGGCCTGTGCCCATGGACGTAGGTGAGGACAGGGATTTCTGTTTCCATGCCCAAATGTTGCATTTTCCAAAACCACCCTGGCGCACTATGCCCCCATGCTGTGCCTGTAAAAACACCAAGACCCTGGTGGGCAGAGACACAAGTGGCTGGATATCGAGAGGAACACACAGGTGGAAGAACACACAGGCAGAAAAACACACAAGCGGCTGGACGTGGAGAGAAGCAGAGGGATGGCAGACACCAGCAGATGCCGGCAGGCCATCTATGGCAGGACAATGTGGAGTTCAGCCGAGGGCGGTCAGAGGAGAGCTTGGCTACTGAGTGGCCTGACTCCTGGGGAAAACCACCTTCCCATTCCATAGGCATTCTGGCTCTCCATCCATCTGCTGAGAGCTACTTCATCATTCAGTAAAACCTTGCACTCATTCTCCAATCCCACGTGTGATCCAATTTTTCCCGTACACCAAGGCAGGAAACCCGGGATACAGAAAGCCCTCTTTCCTTGTGGTAAGTCAGAGGGTCCAATTGAGCTGATCAACACAAGCTGCCTATAGACAAAAAAACTAAAAGAGCATACTGTAACACACGCCCACTGGGGCTTCAGGAGCTGTAAGCGTTTTTCCCTAGATGCTGTGGTGGGGTTGGAGCTCATGTGCCCCACAACCTGCCCATCTGCATGCGCCCCCTAGAGGTGTGAACAGAAGGGCACTGAAACAGTGAGCCATACCCCCATCTCATGCTCTGTGAGGGGAATAAGAGAACTTTTCCCATTTCAATATCATTCACGTTAGCAACAAAAACTAAAATATGCAGAAATAATTTTTAAAAGGAATGCACAAGAGCTCTATTATGAAAAACATTAAAGTCTAGTAAAGGACATGGAAGAAAATCTAAATAAATTCTAAATAAATTCCAGACCTTTCCTGTTTTCAGATGGGTTTCATTAATATTATACAGATGTTAATTCTCCTCCAATTAATCTATAATTTATAGTTTAGTTGAGTTTTTAGCTTAATATTCACAAATAGCTAAGTAAACATTTAAAAAAAGATAAAAGAAGGGTGATTTTTTCTTTCTTTTCTTTTCCCCCTTTATTTTATTGCATTTCAGGTTTTGGGGTACATGTGAAGAACATGCAAGATTGTTGCATAGGTACACACGTGGCAGTGTGATTTGCTGCCTTCCTCCCCATCAACTACGTCTGGCATCTCTCCCCCTGCTATCTCTCCCCAGCTCCCCACCCCCCAACCTCCCTCCCCTATTTCCCCCCAACTGACTCCAGTGTGTAGTGCTCCCCTCCCTGTGTCCATGTATTCTCGTTGTTCAACACCCACCTATGAGTGAGAACATGCGGTATTTGATCTTCTGCTCTTCTATCAGTTTGCTGAGAATGATGGTTTCCAGGTTCATCCATGTCCCTACAAAGGACACAAACTCATCGTTTTTGATGGCTGCATAATATTCCATGGTGTGTATGTGCCACATTTTCCCTATCCAGTCTACCGTCGATGGGCATTTGGGTTGGTTCCAGGTCTTTGCTACTGTAAACAGTGCTGCAATGAACATTCGTGTGCACGTGTCCTTATAGTAGAACGATTTGTAATCCTTTGGATATATACCCAGTAATGGGATTGCTGGGTCAAATGAAATTTCTATTTCTAGGTCCTTGAGGAATCGCCACACTGTCTTCCACAATGGTTGAACTAATTTACACTCCCACCAACAGTGTAAAAGTGTTCCTATTTCTCCACATCCTCTCCAGCATCTGTTGTCTCCAGATTTTTTAATGATTGCCATTGTAACTGGCGTGAGATGGTATCTTAATGTAGTTTTGATTTGCATTTCTCTGATGACCAGTGATGATGAGCATTTTTTCATATGTTTGTTGGCCTCATGTATGTCTTCTTTTGTAAAGTGTCTGTTCATATCCTTTGCCCACTTTTGAATGGGCTTGTTAGTTTTTTTCTTGTAAATCTGTTTTAGTTCTTTGTAAATTCTGGATATCAGCCCTTTGTCAGATGGGTAAACAGCAAAATTTTTTTCCCATTCTGTTGGTTGCCGATTCGCTCTAGTGACTGTTTCTTTTGCCGTGCAGAAGCTGTGGAGTTTGATTAGGTCCCATTTGTCTATTTTGGCTTTTGTTGTCAATGCTTTTGGTGTTTTGGTCATGAAGTCCTTGCCTACACCTATGTCCTGAATGGTTTTGCCTAGATTTTCTTCTAGGGTTTTGATGGTGTTAGGTCTTACGTTTAAGTCTTTAATCCATCTGGAGTTAATTTTAGTGTAAGGGGTCAGGAAGGGGTCCAGTTTCTGCTTTCTGCACATGGCTAGCCAGCTTTCCCAACACCATTTATTGAACAGGGAATCCTTTCCCCATTGCTTGTTTTTGTCTGATTTGTCAAAGATCAGATGGTTGTAGATATGTTGTGTTGCCTCCGAGACCTCTGTTCTGTTCCATTGGTCTATATCTCTGTTTTGGTACCAGTACCATGCTGTTTTGATTACTGTAGCCTTGTAGTATAGTTTGAAGTCCGGTAGTGTGATGCCTCCTGCTTTGTTCTTTTTGCTTAGAATTGACTTGGCTATGCGGGCTCTCTTTTGGTTCCATATGAAGTTTAAGGTGATTTTTTCCAGTTCTGCGAAGAAGGTCATTGGTAGCTTCATGGGGATAGCGTTGAATCTGTAAATTACTTTGGGCAGTATGGCCATTTTCACGATATTGATTCTTCCTAACCATGAACATGGAATGTTTCTCCATCTGTTTGTGTCCTCTCTTATTTCGTTGAGCAGTGGCTTGTAGTTCTCCTTGAAGAGGTCCTTTATATTCCTTGTTAGTTGTATTCCTAGGTATTTTATTCTCTTTGTGGCAATTGTGAATGGAAGTTTGTTCTTGATTTGGCTCCCTTTAAGTCTGTTATTGGTGTATAGGAATGCATGTGATTTTTGCACATTGATTTTGTAACCTGAGACTTTGCTGAACTTGCTTATCAGTTTCAGGAGGTTTGGGGCTGAGACGATGGGGTCTTCTAGATGTACAATCATGTCATCTGCAAATAGAGACAATTTGACTTCCTCCTTTCCTATTTGAATGCCCTTTATTTCTTTTTCTTGCCTGATTGCTCTGGCTAGAACTTCTAGTACCATATTGAATAGGAGTGGTGAGAGCGGGCATCCTTGTCTGGTGCCACATTTCAAGGGGAATGCTTCCAGTTTTTGCCCATTCAGGATATTGGCTGTGGGTTTGTCATAAATAGCTTTTATTATTTTGAGATACGTTCCGTCAATACCTAGGTTATTGAGGGTTTTTAGCATAAAGGGCTGTTGAATTTTGTCAAAGGCCTTCTCTGCATCAATTGAGATAATCATGTGGTTTTTGTCTTTGGTTCTGTTTCTGTGGTGAATTACGTTTATAGACTTGCGTATGTTGAACCAGCCTTGCATCCCCAGGATGAAGCCTACTTGATCATGGTGGATAAGCTTTTTGATGTGCTGTTGCAGTCGGCTTGTCAGTATTTTATTGAAGATTTTTGCATCTATGTTCATCATGGATATTGGCCTGAGGTTTTCTTTTCTTGTTGAGTCTCTGCTGGGTTTTGGAATCAGGATGATGGTGGTCTCATAAAATGATTTGGGAAGAGTTCCCTCTTTTTGTACTGTTTGGAATAGTTTCAGAAGAAATGGTACCAGCTCCTCTTTGTATGTCTGGTAGAATTCGGCTGTGAACCCTTCTGGACCTGGGCTTTTTTTGGGTGGTAAGCTCTTAATTGCTGCCTCAACTTCAGACCTTGTTATGGGTCTGTTCAGGGTTTTGGCTTCTTCCTGGTTTAAGCTTGGGAGGAGGCAAGTGTCCAGGAATTTATCCATTTCTTCCAGGTTTACCAGTTTATGTGCATAGAGTTGTGTGTAATAATCTCTAATGCTGGTTTGAATTTCTGTGGAATCTGTGGTGATATCCCCTTTATCGTTTTTTATTGCATAAATTTGGTTATTCTCTCTTTTCTTTTTTATTAATCTGGCTAGTGGTCTATTTTGTTGATCTTTTCAAAAAACCAGCTCCTGGACTTATTGATTTTTTGAAGGGTTTTTTGTGTCTCTATCTCCTTCAGTTCTGCTCTGATCTTAGCTATTTCTTGTCTTCTGCTAGACTTTGAGTTTTTTTGATCTTGCTCCTCTAGCTCTTTCAGTTTTGACAATAGGGTGTCAATTTTTGATCTCTCCTTGCTTCTCATGTGGGCACTTATTGCTATATATTTTCCTCTAGAGACCGCTTGAAATGTGTCCCAGAGATTCTGATATGTTTTGTCTTCATTCTTGTTGGTTTCGAAGAACATCTTTATTTCTGTCTTCATTTCATTGTTTATCCAGTCACTATGCAAGAGCAAGTTGTTCAGTTTCCACAAAGCTGTGCGGTTCTGAGTTAGTTTTTGAATTCTGAGTTCTAACTTGATTGCACTGTGGTCTGAGAGACTGTTTGTTAAGATTTCCGTTCTTTTGCATTTGCTGAGGAGTGATTTCCTCCCAAATATGTGGTCAATTTTAGAGTAGGTGTGATGTGGTGCTGAGAAGAATGTATATTCTGTGGATTTGGGGTGGAGAGTTCTGTAAATGTCTATTAGGTTTGCTTGGTCCAGGTCTGTGTTCAAGTTCTGGATATCCTTGTTAATTTTCTGTCTGGTTGATCTGTCTGATATTGACAATGGAGTGTTAAAGTCTCCCGCTATTATTGTGTGGGAGTCTATGTCTCTTTGTAAGTCATTAAGAACTTGCCTTATGTATCTGGGTGCTCCTGTATTGGGTGCGTATATATTTAGGATCATTAGCTCTTCTTGATGCATTGATCCTTTTACCATTATGTAATGTCCTTCTTTGTCTCTTTTGATCTTTGTTGCTTTAAAGTCTAATTTATCAGAGATGAGAATTGCAACTCCTGCTTTTTTTTGCTCTCCATTTGCTTGGTAAATCTTCACCCATCCCTTTATTTTGAGCCTTTGTGTATCCTTGCATGTGAGATGTGTTTCCTGGATACAGCACACCGATGGGTTTTGGCTTTTTATCCAATTTGCCAATCTGTGTCTTTTGAGTGGGGCATTTAGTCCATTTACATTTAGGTTTAATATTGTTATGTGTGAATTTGATACTGCCATTTTGGTGCTAGCTGGCTGTTTTGCCCATTCGTTGATGCAGATTCTTCATTGTGTTTGATTCTCTTTACCATTTGGCATGTTTTTGGAGTGGCTGGTACTGCTTGTTCCTTTCTATGTGTAGAGCCTCTTTCAGGAGCTCTTGTAAAGCTGCCCTGGTGGTGACGAAATCTCTGAGTACTTGCATGTTCCCAAAGGATTTTATTTTTCCTTCACTTATGAAGCTTAGTTTGGCTGGATAGGAGATTCTGGGTTGAAAGTTCTTTTCTTTAAGGATGTTGAATATTGGCCCCCACTCTCTTTTGGCTTGTAGGGTTTCTGCTGAGAGATCTGCTGTGAGTCTGATGGGCTTCCCTTTGTGGGTAACCCGACCTTTCTCTCTGGCTGCCCTCAGTATTTTCTCCTTCATTTCAACCCTGGTGAATCTGACGATTATGTGCCTTGGGGTTGCTCTTCTTGACGAATATCTTTGTGGTGTTCTCTGTATTTCCTGGACTTGAATGTCTGCCTGCCTTGCTAGGTTGGGGAAGTTTTCCTGGATAATATCCTGAAGAGTATTTTCCAGCTTGGATTCATTCTCTTCGTCACATTCAGGTACGCCTATCAAATGTAGATTAGGTCTTTTCACATAGTCCCACATTTCTTGGAGACTTTGTTCGTTCCTTTTTACCCTTTTTTCTCCAGTCTTGCCTTCCCGTTTTATTTCATTGAGTTGATATTCGACCTCTGATATCCTTTCTTCTGCTTGGTCAATTCGGCTGTTGATACTTGTGCATGCTTCGCGAAGTTCTTGTGTTGTATTTTCCAGCTCCATCAATTCACTTATGTTCCTTTCTATTTTGTCCATTCTCGTTAGCATTTCGTCAAATCTTTTTTCAAGGTTCTTAGTTTCTTTGCATTGGGTTAGAACATGTTCTTTAAGTTCACAGAAGTTTCTTACTACCCACCTTCTGAGGTCTGATTCTGTCATTTCATCACACTCGTTCTCCCTCCAATCTTGTTCCCTTGCTGGTGAGGAGTTGTGATCCCTTTTAGGAGGACAGGTGCTCTGGTTTCGGGTGTTTTCATCCTTTTTGTGCTGGTTTTTCCCATCTTTATGGATTTATCCACCTGTCAACTTTGTAGATGCTGGCTTTCAGATTGGGTCTCTGAGTGGACGTTCTGTTTGTTGATGATGAGGTGATTTGTGTTTCTTGGTTTTCCTTCTGACAGTCTGGCCCCTCTGTTGTAGGTCTGCTGAGGTCCACTCCAGGCCCTGCTTGCCTGGTGCTCACCTGCAGCAGCTGCTGAACAGTAAGGGTTGTTACCAGTTTTCTTCTGCTATCTTTGTCCGAGAAGGATACCTGCCAAGTGTCAATCTGATCTCTCCTTTATGAGGTGGCTCTTTGGATATATAGGGGTCAGGGAGCTGCTTGAGGAGACAGTCTCTTCTTTATATGAGCTCAAATGGTGAGCTGTGAGCTCTGTTGTTCATTCACAGCTGCTGGGCAGGTACGTTTAGGTCCGCTGCAGCAGAACTCATAAACTGCTTTTTGTTCCCAGGTGCTCTGTCCCAGGGATTTAGGGCTTTATGAGTTTCCATTATGCTGCTGCCTTCTTTTTTTTTCCTTCAGAGCTGCCCTGCCCAGCAAGGAGGCAGCCTAGTCACTGTCTGCCTGTAGAGGCTTTGCTGAGCTGCTGTGGGCTCCGCCCAGCTGCCGAGTGAATTTCCCTGCAGTCCTGTTTATATGGGTGTAGTTAGAACTGCCTCAGCAATGGTGGCCTGCCTCTGTTAAGGCGGAGCCTCTCTGTAGTGGTGGGTTGCCTTGGCAGCGGGGGGCTGCCTCAGCTCTGGCTGACTACCTCCGTAGTGGGGGGCTGCGTCAATAATGGCGGACGCCCCTCCCCCACAGAGCTGGACCGTCCCGGGTTCAGCTGCGCTTGCTGTGAAACTCTCAATCCAGAGAGTTTCTGATTGCTGTTCTTTTGTTGGGGTGGGACCAGCTGAGCCTGATCGCCTGGCTCCCTGCCTCAGAGCCTTTTTTTTTTTTTTTAAGTTGGTGTTCCAGTCACCTGTTGAAGAGGCGCCCTGGTGTGTGTTTTTTCCCGTGTGACAACTCACTGTGCTGGCTTAAACAGTGGCATCGAGATTCGTGGGGCTTTTTTTTTGCCCTGGAATCTACTGTCCTGGTTCCCTGCTCAGTCCCCTTTTTAAACAGACGAATGGGTGACTTCCCGTGGCTCCTATCGCCAGCCAAAAGGGCACCCGGACTGGTGTATTTTGTATGGAGAACCGCTGCTCCGGGGCGCCGACAAAGCAGCCGCGCAGGGCAAAGCAGCAGCGCCGGCCGGCACAGCCGCGCTGGCAACCCGTGGAGCTCCTCTGCCTGGGAATTGCCTAGTCTGTGGGCAATCAAAATGTGGCATCCACTCACCCTCTGTGCTTTCACTAGGAGCTGCAATCCTGAGCTGTTCCTAAACGGCCATCTTGGATCCATCCTCAAGAAGGGTGATTTTTTTCTACTAGGCAGTACACATATTACAAAGTCAGTGGTGTGAAAACAGTCTGATATTGGTCCTGAAATAGAAGGCTAGTCAAACAGAACAGATAGATGAAGTTCAAACCCATATAGTAATTTAATAAAAAATAAAAATTGTACTCCAAATTAATGGGAAGTGGAAAAATTCATAGGTGATTATAGGAACAATATATAGAGAAATATAAAACTGGATTCCTACCTGACATCACAAATAATGCTGAATTCCAGATGGTTGAAAGGCCTACAAGTGAAAAGCAAAACTCAAAGATTGTTTTGTATCCTGTGACCTCCTCCCCATGTGATCATCTAAGTGGAAGTTCAAAGTCTCCAGGGATCTGATGAAACCTTTAGGGGTAATGCCTTCCCAGGGCCGCTCATTTCGCTTTGTTATAAGGGCTCTGTACCGGTCTTGTTTTGTGCCATTTATTAATTAGTTTTAAAAGGTTAAACATATTTTGTTCAACATTTTAGAATTTTAGCCCAGAGTCAACATTTCTTATCGATCAACCATCCTTCTAAGAATGGAACTCTCCCCCTATGTTTTCATTTTGAATCTAGTGGAAAAATCCTTCCTGGTTCTGGAAGAGTGCTGCAGTGTATGTTCTAATTCTGCTTTCTTTTACATTTCTGCCTTGCGGGAGTTAAAAATTGCTACTAAGGATCATTCAGTCATTATTATCAGTTTGTCATGGGGGATATGGAATGTTAGCTATCCAGAAAACATATTGACTGGTTTTTGCATGATATTTAAATTACAGATATTTTAGGCCACTTTTAAACTGATTGATAGAAATAGGTGCTCTTGTCAGAGAAAATTTGAATGGTAGGTTGCTTTTGCTAGACATAGGAGAATTCACTCATCTCATTCTGAGGCTCTTCGCCAAAGGACAGCCTTTGGCTTGTCTACCATATGGATCTTTGATCTGTCATAAAGCTAGTAACTTTATTTCTGGGACATGTTTTATCAGTAGGTAGTGAAAGTTAGATGTGGCCTAGTCTTTGATTAATATTTAAGGAAGAAGAGGTATTTTTCAAAATATCAGAGTTCTGTTTGTTTGGATCACACAGAATACTCATGGTCATGTAGCACAACGCTAGAAGGCTACAAAGAATTAGAATGTTTGCTGGATAGAAAATAGGCTAAGGGCAAGGAAACCAAGTTGCAAACCTGAGCCCTGCATCCCCTTACTTACCTAAAACATATTTCATGCTCAGATACATAGTTCCTATTAATTGCCAGTTTTGGGAAGGAGTAGTTGGAAAACCACAAATGAGATTGTTTTAAACTTACTTATATACTGTATTGAGATATCATATCTTAAAGAATAGCTAATTTGAATAGCTAAAATTTAATACTCTTCTTCATGAATTTAGATTTCGATTTTCTGCTTCGGTTTCGCTTTATAATCTGATTACTTTGGCCCAATACCATACTCAAATTATTTGAATGCTTAGAGTCACTTAAATTGTTCATCTGTGTCAGCCTTTGGTATCTCTTTTATAAAGTGCAGATAATAAAATCCTATCTCACACTCAGAAAATAAACCAGGCGAAATGTTTAATAGTCATTACCTTTATGCAGTGGGCTTTGCAATAGGGTAAGATTTTCACTTTTTACAAGCTGCATACTTCTGAATTGTTTAAACTTATTTCACTTCACACAGGTATTGTTTTAATAATTTTTAGAATAAAAAATAAGATAAGGAAAGCTCATAACCGATATCCAGGTACAAATGATAGACCAAACATGGAAATTGAATTATACTTTATCAGGAAACCTGACTGAAACTATTGTAAACAGACTCTTTAAATAAAATTTAAAGACCCAGAAGAACAGGATAAGTGGAAGAAGAAACAATAACAACACAATTTTGCAACCTAGAATGAAAATGGATGAATGGTATCTTACTTACCAGATGTAGCAAAGCCCAGTCTTAAGATGGCAATGGAGAAAGCCAAGAGCAATCCTGATTCATTGTAGTGGTGAATCCTGAAGACTCAATTTTAAAAAAGCAATTATGAACTTCAGGGAATATAAAGAGTTGTACAGGAAATTAAGATTAAGCATACTGTGCTATAGGAATCAGCTATAAATAGTGTTTACATGGTAATAATAGTGTAAATACTGAATGTAGATGAAACACACTTTTCATAAAAATATATTGGGGGTATGAGAGGAAAGGAAGTGTGTGTAGGGGAAAATGATGTTGTTACTGGTGGTTGTAATAGGACAGGAAGAATAAAGACAGCTAAATTTTCATTTTTCATATTGGGAAGTTAATAGGGAATGCATAAATATTAAAAATTAAGAAACAGTAATTTAGAAAATTAATTCCAAGACTCTAGAGATATGAAAATGAAGACAAAAAGAATGAACTTAAAAAGATCAAAGTTGTTTCTGGGGAAAGGGGAAATAGAAAAAGGACAGAGAATTGTTGCTTGTTTTAACCAAGTACATGGAACTAGATGCTTATTTGATTAAAGAAAATCTTTTATAAAATATCTTAAGCTTTAAATATTTATTAAGTGATGATTTGTACCTTATGAGTGTGATGGTGCAATCCAGCTCTCAGGCTTTATTTCCTCTCTTTACTCTCTGATTCCTTATATAATTGTATAAATTACTATGATATAAGAAAAAATTTAAATGTTAAACCTAGCAATCAGAGTTAATGTGAAAATTTCAATTAAATAACGTATAATAAAGAACCTCATACTGCTTGGCAAATATCTGTTCTCCAGAAATTGAATTTCCTTCCCCTTCTCCATAAGGTCAACAAGTCTTTTGGTGCAGTGCTTTTCTTGAACATGGGAACTGACTTTTGATAAGAGCTTCTCCTACACTTGGGATTTTCAGTGAAATTGATCTTAGAATGGAAATTATTTTTAGCTAATGTTGGGATGTCTCAGGAGTAGTAGGCTATGGTTATTGCTAGTTAACTTTAGCAGAATTAATTATAAGGGGGCTCACAAAGGAATAGAAAATCTGAATAGGCCTATAACGAGTAATGCTGTTGACTTATTAATCAAAGAACGTTGCAGGAAGAGAAGCCCAGGATTAGATGGCCTCACTGGTGTATTCCACTAATTGCTTAAATAATTCACACTAACCCTTAACAAATATTACAAAAATAAAGGAGGTGGAAACACCTGCCAACTCATTCTGTGATTCTAATACTTTGCTCTAGGTATTATACTTAAAGCCAGACAAGAAATTAGAACTATAAACCAATATCCCTCATGAATACAGACACAAAAATCCTCATCCTAGCAAATTAAATACAACAGCATATAAAAATAATTATATACCATAACGATGTGAGATTTATCCTAGGAGTATGTGGTTGATTTAATGTCTGAAAAATTAATCAATGTAATATACATAGATTATTACACGTAACATACATAGATATTAATAGGTTAAATAACAAAAAGCACATGAACACCTCCATAGACCGAGAAAAATCATTTGACAAGATTCAACACTTTTTCCTGATAAATTTATGGAACAAACTAGGAATTCAAGGGAACTTCTTCAACTTGATTAATGGCAGCTATAACCAAAATCAGAAGTTAACATCACACATAAGCGAAAGACTAATATCTTTCCCCTTATGGTAAAGAACAAGATAAGGATGTCTGTTCTCCTCACGTCAATTCAACTTTTCACTGGAGGTTCTAGTTAGCATAATCAGCCAAGACTGGAAAGTAAAAACTATGTCTATTTGCAGATGACTTCATGTTGTATATAGAAAATCCTAAGGAACACACACAGAGAAAACTAATGAAGGCGTTCAATGCAACATTGTGTAGAATACAGGATCAGTATATAAAAATAAATTTTATTGGCTGGGCACGGTGGCTCACGCTTGTAATCCCAGCACTTTGGGAGGCCGAGGTGGGCTGATCACGAAGTCAGGCGTTCGAGCCAGCCTGGCCAATATGGTGAAACCCATCTCTACTAAAAATACAAAAATTAGCCAGGAGTGGTGGCATGCACCTGTAATCCCAGCTACTTGGGAGGCTGAGGCAGAAGAATCGGTTGAACTTGGGAGAAGGAGGTTGCAGTGAGCCGAGATTGTGCCATTGCAGTCCAGCCTGGGCAACAGAGCAAGGCTCCGTCTCAAAAAATAATAAAAATAAATAAATTTTATTTCTATCTACTTTGGAATAAAATTCTATTTCCATTGACATCAATAAATAATGTGGCCATTAAGAAAACAATCCCATTTAATCAAAATGATTAAAATACGTAGGTAAAAATTTAACAAAAGATGTGCAAGACTTATATGCTGAAAGTTACAAAATATCATTGAAAGAAATTAAAGAATCCCTAAATCAATAGAAAGACAACCTGTGTTCATGAACTGAAACCCTTCATATTGTTAAGATGGCATTACTCATCAAGTTGACCTACAGATTCAGTGCAAGCCATATCAAAATCCCAGCTGGCCATTTCACACAAATTGATAAGGTGATCCTAATATTCACATAGAAATGGAAAGGACCAGAATAGAAAAAAAATGTCAAAGGAAAATTTTTAAACTTCAAAACTTACTACAGTTTGGGTGTGGTGGCTCACACCTGTAATTCCAACACTTTGGGAGGCTGAGGCAGGCAGATTACCTGAGTTCAGGAGATCGAGACCAGACTGGCCAACATGGTGAAACCACCATCTCTTCTAAAATACAAAATTAGCTGGGTGTAGTGGTGCATGCCTGTACTCAGTTACTTGGGAGAGTGAGGCAGGAGAATCTCTCTGTGTGTGTGTGTGTGTGTGTATGTGAGACAGAGTCTCGCTCTGTCACCCAGACTGGAGTGCAGTGGCACAATCTCAGCTCACTGCAACCTCTGCTTCCCGGGTTCAAGTGATTCTCCTGCCTCAGCCTCCTGAGTAGCTGGGAATACAGGTGCATGCCACCAAGCCCAGCTAATTTTTGTATTTTTATTAGAGATGGGGTTTCACCATGTTGCTTAGGTTAGTCTAGAACTCCTGACCTCGTGATCAGCCCCCCCTTGGCCTCCCAAAGTGCTGGGATTACAAGGAGAATCTCTTGAACCCAGGAAGTGAAGGTTGCAGTGACCTGAGATCGCGCCACTGCACTCCAGCCTGGCCAACAAGAGCGAAATTACATCTCACAACAAAACAAAACAAAACTTACTACAAATCCACAGTAATCAAGGTGGTGTGGTGCTGACATAAAGATAGATGAATAGATCAATAGAATTGAAAACTGAGAGTCCAGAAACAAACATTTATGGTTCATTGATATTTTACAAAGATGTTAAAAACAATCAATTGGGGAAGAATGCTGTTTTGAATAAATGGTGCTGGGACTACTGGATATTTACTAGCAAAAGTAAACGTAGGAAGCCTGTCACCAAAGGCCATAGTGAAGATTCCAGTTAATATGAAAGGTGTAGAATAGGAAAATCCATAGAGATAGAAAGTAGACTGTGGCTTTTTGAAGGTGGATGGAAGGGAGAATGGAAAGTGGCTACTAGTGTGGTCAGGATTTCATTTTGGGGTGATGAAAATATTTTGGAATTAGATAACAGCAGTGGTTGCACAGCTTTGTGAATATGCTAAAAACCACTGAACTGTACACTTTAAAGGGATGAATTTCATGATATGAGAATTATATTTCAGTTTTTAATTTAAAAATTGAATTGAAGGAGAAAGTATTCCACAGAATCTTATCAGTTCTTGGTGAAGGCAGTAAGGTTTTCTGGCTCATGCTTTTGTCAAATAATTGCTACTGTAAATTGATTAAACAGCTGAAGGAACAGTTTGTTCTTCCTATGTTTTGTGTGAAAATGTCTACCTCCTGTGTTTTGATATCTGAGTTAGGGTTGGGCTATGGAACTACTGGAGTTTTATTTATAAGATGTTCTGATTATTTATAAGCCCCTGAATGTTATTCCACCCATGATAATCTGAACTACATGGACTATGATCTTGGATGTTAGTTCGCCGTATTTGAACCTTAATTTCCTTTACAATATCTGCTTCTCAGGGTTGTAAAGTCTAAATGAGATAATAGATTTTAAGTGTCTATCATAGTGCCTGGTCCTGATGTAGGGCTTGGTTAATGAATGTTAGCTTCTTCCCTACATCTTTCCTCCATTAAAAAAAATTACTCTAGTAAAAAGCACATTTCTTCCCTCCCACCCCCCATGAGATGGAGTCTTGCTGTCTCGCCCAGGCTGGAATGCAGTGGCACGATCCTGGCTCACTGCAACCTCCACCTCCCGGTTTCAAGCAATTCTCCTGCCTTCACGACCCAAGTAGCTGGGATTACAGGCATGTGCCACCATGCCCCACTAATTTTTTTTGTATTTTTAGTAGAGATGGGGTTTCACCATGTTGGTCAGGCTGGCCTTGAACTCATGACCTCAAGTGATTCGCCTGCCTCGGCCTCCTAAAGTGCTGGGATTACGGGCGTGAGCCACCATGCCCGGCCAAAAGCACATTTCTTGTAGGTCACAGTTCACTCAGCTCCGTCCTAGCTTCCTGCCCAGCAACGGATTGCTTGTAGCAATGAACCATGGATGAATTTTTTTTCTTTTATCTGTGTGTCCCCTGCTATGCGTCTTCCACTACCTGGCACATTGCAGGTGCTCAGTGGTTTTGGATTTCGCGTGAGACAACACAAGCCATTTACACTGATTTTCCAGCATGGCGCTAAGAGAATAGTAGGGTGTCAGCATTAGTCTGTGACAAAGGAGCATTGTTAAGTGCTACTTTAGATGCTGTGTTTCTTCCAGTTGTGCTGAGCAGCAGAGAACTTAATTAAATTTCATACTCAAGAAGAGTAAAGGCTGAGTCTTTCATCTGCCATAAATCCTTTTAGCCCTTGCTTTCTAGTTAAACTTTCCAGGATTTTTTTCTCTGTTTTTAATATCAGCTTTTAATATTCAGGAACGAAGTGCTTAAATAATACCAAGTAATTCATTTACTCCTAACCACGGGGACGAAGTGTTTGCAACTGCTTGAGTTGGGGACATTAGGAGTGAAGTGCTTAAATAATATCAAGTAATTCATTTAAAGAGACAATCCCAGGTTCCTGTTTCTTTGGAAATGTTTTACTTCTTATTAGCTATCTAAGTGCATTGTAGATTAACCTTTTATGACAGATATTTAGTTCACTTTTGTGTTATGTCTTCTTCCTTTGTAAGAAAATTTGAATGAGTGGTTAATATATGTGAAAAATTTTGGAGGGGAGAAAAGATATCTACTATACAGGCCCTTTTAAGGTATCATTCTCTGAGGAGCAGCTTCCATAGCTTTCAGCTGTACAAATAGGCACTGCCATTTCTGCAGGCAAAATGGTTTGGGGTTATATTTCAGGAAGCTGAAACTGCTGAGACCAATGCAAAGCTAATTCTCTGTTGCTTTTCTTTCCTTCCCAGGAGCTAGAGGGATTGACCACCTGAAATCTGACACTGTCTCCTTCATTCTCCTTTCTAAGCAGACAGAGTTACAGCTACAGACATTTTATTTTTGCCTTTCTCTCCCACCTCTAGGAGCGGAAAAAGAAATTTGAAAAGGATGGTGAGAGGTTTTATTCTTTGCTGGATCGGCACTTACACCTGTCTTCCAAAAAGAAAGAATCTCAGTTACAAGAGGTATGTTCACCAAGCCTGCCCCTGCCTTCCATTACTGGCTATGCCTTAGAAACAGGGTGAATTTTGCACTGCAAGGCTTTTCCCATATCCCGTCTCAGCAGGGAACCTCATTTGATAGTAGCACTTGTAGTCAAAACTGTGGCCTGAGACTCAGAAGCCCTGAGTACTAAGACAGCTCTTTGCTAATTCAGGGTGTCACCTTGGATAGGATATTTCTTTCTTTGCTTCATTCCTATATCTGTAAGAAGAGTCAAGAGTCCCTTTCAATTGCAAGTCCAAAATCTAGGCGAGGATAACGCTAAACTAGTGTTGTATTTGGTAGAGATCAGGAACAGATCTACTTTTTTTTTTCCCTGAGATATTCCATAAACTTTTTTTTTGTGGGGGTAGGGGAGTTTCCGGTTTGGGACTACTGCTTACCTGGGTCTTGCAGTGGCTTCTGTTCAAATTAGCTACCATTCAGTGGGACCCTACCACATGCCAGGAACTGTACTGGATGCAACATGGCTACAGAAACAATGAGACATGGTTTCTGCCCATCTGTAGCTTACTGTTGGGCTACTAAATAAGAAAACATATTACTCTTATACAAATAGAATTTTTTACATACTTTAATGTGTATATGGTTCTTTTCTTGGGGGTGGGAAATGAGAATAGAAGACTTATGTTTAGATGTGGGGAATTGCCTTTGTGGAAGAATGTTGCCCTTCCGATTTGATGTGGTTGTTAAAAAATAGGTAAAGTGTTTGACAGGTGAAAATGGAGAAATGGGCCTTTCAAACAGAGACCAATGGCCCGAAGGATGGAAGGAACATAAGTAGAATTCTGTTTTAGGAATCTCAAACTGGCACAGGTTGTAGGGTGAATTCGATCAGGGAGAGAGTAGAAGCAGGATAACCAGTTTAGGAAACTATTGATCTAGGAAATGATCTAGGTGAAAGGGTCAGAGCCATAAGAGAGACACTGGGGAAGGAAAAGAAGGAATAAACTAATTGAGAATTTTTCTATGGAAGAAGGGATCTGTATGTTCGATGAAAGATTTACTAATAATGGAGATTTTAAACATTCATGTATGAAAAGAGATATCTGATGGAATAAGGTCATAGGCATGAGATGTCATCTTGTCCATGGTCACAGATTTTGGCAGAGCTGGAGCTTACCTCCTGATAACTGGTTTCATAGATATCCATCACATTATCTGAGGTGCTTGGAGGTGATAGGTCAAGAGACTTAGTGTGGCTGGGTACGGTGGCTCATGCCTGTAATCCAAGCACTTTGGGAGGCCGAGATGGGTGGATCACTTTAGGTCAGGAGTTCTCGACCAGCCTGGCCAACATGGCGAAACTCCAGCTCTACTAAAAATACAGAATTAGCGCGCGTAGTGGCACATACCTGTAATCTGAGTTACTGGGAAGGCTGAGGCAGGAGAATCACTTGAACCCAGGAGGCAGAGGTTGCAGTGAGCTGAGATCACACCATTGCACTCCAGCCTGGGTGACAAGAAGGAAACTGTCTCAAAAAAAAGGGCCTCTGGTGGATGGAGTTGGTATTGCAAAAGAGAAGGACTGCTTTCCTTCCACAAACCAGAATTAAGTCTGGGGTCTTCTTTCATTTTCCTTTTGCCCACTTTTGTTTTGTTCCTTTTCTATATATTCCGTGTCACAGTTTCTGTGCAGAAAATAGTTAACAGGCCCAAGACTGCTATGCTTAAAAAGACCGGTTTATAAAATTAGCCCTTGGAGGGCATCTGAGAACTTCACTGATAAACAGCTCCCAACATTGATATAGAAGTTTCCCTTAATGGGTAGGAATGGCTGACTGTGCCAAGCCTGGCTTTACAAACAATGTGGCTTCTGTGAACACCTTTTTCTTCTGGTAGTCTTGAGTTTTGGTTGGTGCTGGGCAGAGTGTGCCTGTGTAACTAGTCCCCAATACAAACCTAGGCTATGCATTATCTTATGAGTTTCCATGAGTGCCAGCATTTTCTCTGTGTTGTTACAACTTGTTGAAGGAAGAATTAAATGTGTCTTGGGAGACACCACAATGAGAGGTCTTTTGGAAGCTTATATCTAGCTTACTCTGCATTTTTCCCCAGGCACCTTTTC